TCGCCCTGACTTTTTTGCTGCAATCCTTTAAATACAAAACCAAGATAAAACATCCTCCAAATGGAGGCCTGTACAAACAATTGGAATTTGCATTAAGCCAGGCCTGGTCTACACCTCAATGGGAACAAAAGGTAATTTAAATTGCTCTCTACGGTAATCAAAGTTTCTCTTAACTCTTAGGATCTGTATTATCTTTTAGTAAGATTAAGACCATTGTACCACTTGCCCTGAAACTATTAAAATGAAACCAAACATGACTGTAAATCTTATTTGCATTCATATAGAACATTATATTCTTGACCATTTTGAGTGAATCCAGTGAGGGAGGAGATGAAAAGGCACCGATGCATATGTGAGAGAGGTGTTTCCCGCACCACCCCTCTGTGGGGTGTCCTGAAGATGCCAGTGTATTGTTTGTTTCTCAGGAGATCAAAGTATTTTAGTTTCTTTTATCCTTACAACTATATTACTGCTTTTGCTGTATTTTGGATCAAATAAATGCAGGCTTGGTGAGCAGAAGAGAATTCTTTAAAAAACATAAAAAATCTTACTGTTCAAAAACTTTTGACTGGTATAGTGTATATATATATATATATCGAAGTGGTGATGGGCCGCCTGGATCAAAAAATGCCAGGGCTGATTTTTTGTCCCAGTCCAGCCCTGGTGTCATCAATCATCCTCATTATCAGCTCTGCATAAAAACACACACCTCAAGCCCAGTCATTGTCCGGTCTTGTTTGTAGAAAGACTATTTACCTGTTTGAACGTAACTGACCAATCTTCTCCGACCTTCCTCAGTTGTCCTCCTTCTTCAGTATCCGGCTCACCAACACCATTGATCCAGTAGTAGTGATGGCCGCTTTCAAAGCACTGCTTCATGAAGTTTCGAAACCTTTGCGAATCAATTTCGAAACAGTGGTTTGGAGCGCGTATCAAAATGCCAAAGTCCACGTGATTTCAGTAAACGAGGCTTCGTTAGGCTACGTCATAACTGTTTCGAAATTTCAATAGTTTGGCTTTTAATCAAAGTTATTTGTGTGAATGCATATAGCTGATTATTGCCTTTCATTCACTTAAGTTAATGGCGTCAGTGGTTAGTTTCATTTCATTCATCCTTCATTTCATCCTTTATGTCAGACTGACCAGTATAGACTAACCTACAAGATTCCTAAAAGTTTCGCACCTACAGCACACATTACAGACACTGATGCACAAACGCGGATATGTTCTACATGTCTAAGTATAAAGAAAGAATAAACCTCTTATAAACTCCTTAATTTTGCTTAAATAACTTAAAATATTATCTGCATGCACAATAAACCGTGCTAAAATTCAGGTTTTTCCACGTTTTAATAAAAATCCAGGGCTTTTTAATAAAACGATTCGTAAGC